AAGACATGGGGGTGACGTGAAGAAAGCCAGCATGCCAGGCCGTCATCTAATCGATGTGTAATGATTAGAAGACAATCACTTGGTGCCTTTGAAGATTGAAAGGAAATGCTGGTGCTGTGACAAACAGCAACGTGAAGAATCCCAATTTGACAACAAAACAAACTAACCCCCTTTTACGAGGTGAGGAGTGTGTCTTAGGTAATAAACACTTAAGTAATTAGATGGTTTTTATAGAGATAGCTTTAAGCTGAAACATGGGGAAGAAAACCTGGCTAATAGGGTGACGCCCAGGGAGGTGGGTATATAAGAGCCAGAGCAGAAGAGAGAGGCACTGAGACACTAAGAAACTTCTCTCCTCAACCCAACAAAAACCCAAATCTTGACACCATGGCTTGCTGTACTCCCTGCTGCTGCAGCGTCCCCACCGGCCCCGCCACCACCATCTGCTCCTCTGACAAATGCTGCCGGTGCGGAGTCTGCCTGCCCAGCACCTGCCCACACGACATCAGCCTCCTTCAGCCCACCTGCTGTGACACCTGCCCCCCACCCTGCTGTGAGCCTGACACCTACGTGCCAACTTGCTGGCTGCTCAACTCCTGCCACCCGACTCCCGGACTGTACGGGATCAACGTGACGACCTGCGTCCAGCCCTGCTGTCAGAGTCCCTGTGAGCCCTGCTGTTAAGCAGCCACGGCTTTGCACAGGTTCCGTGATGTGCTGCTCAACGTCCTACACATCACCCAGCCTTCACCACGCTACTGCCTACAGCGGGCTAACGCCATACTATTCCCTGGGCCATGTTTTCGTGAATTAGTCCAACTTCTTAATTCTTTCCTCCTTTGGGGAGACTTGGAGACCTTTGTTCTGTCTTTTAGGCTGTTTTACTGCTCTTTGAGAAATAACCATTTTGACTATTCATTAATAAACTTCATTCTGGCTTAGCAAATATGGCCTTGTGGGTTTTTATTCCATGTTCCCTCTCAGAGTAAGTAGAATGCCTACCTAAACCTGAACAGCAGGTCATCCTACTACCCAAGATTCATCCCGCCCCCCCTCCCCCCCTCTCATTCAGCAGACTGAGAGCTTTCATGGTGGAATCATTGAAAAGTTAGATACTGGCTCTTTGTGGTGGTTAAAAAGTAAAAAATTCAGTAGGTCATTTTGTAGAATCTTCTTATACAACAAATATTTTTTAAGATAACCACTGCACCAAGCACTATGCTAGAGTCTAGAGATTATTATGTTTTTTAAATATTTTATTTATTTTAATTTCTATAACCCCTGAAAGTGATTTTTTTCTTCCTTAACTAACTAAATAAACTAATCACTTTGCTAGTATGTAGAAATGATTTTAATTCCTTTAGTCATAGTCATCAATGAAATTCCAAGTTCAAAATGCTATGCAATTTTGGGGAA